TATGAAAAAAAAATTGTTTAAAAACTCAATATTTAGACTATGTCGCCCATGGGCCTGCCCATGGGCGAAGTCTGGCCCATGGGTAGGCCCATGGGCGAGAATATGTTCCTTTACTTAAAACTCATGTTTTTGTTTCGCAAATACATTTAATGTATTCATTCAAGTATCATGACACAAAATTTAACTCATTTTAACTTCATTCAACGATTTTATAGCGATATTGAAATATTTCGCCCATGGGCGAGAAAAAGGTTTGGCCCATGGGCGAGAATATGTTCCTTTACTTAAAACTCATGATTTTGTTTCGCCAATACATTAAATGTATTCATTGAAGTATCATGACACAAAATTTAATGAAAAAATGAAAAACAAAATGTTCAAAAACTCAATATTTAGACTATGTCGCCCATGGGCCTGCCCATGGGCGAAGTCTGGCGCATGGGTAGGCCCATGGGCGAGAATATGTTCCTTTACTCAAAACTCATGTTTTTGTTTCGCGAATACATTAAAGGGCTAAAATAAAGACTGGTCCGCTCGGAGTACACTGTTTTTGAGTGGGGTATTCATGATGTGGCATGGTATCTCAGTCGACTGGCGATAATTAACGATAATTAACTTTCACTCTTAATTCCAGTGCTAACTGGCAAACGTAAAAGAGAGAGTAACCTGTGCGAAATGGATGTGTCAGGGATAAGGAATAGTCACGTACAAATTCTGCGTAAGTCTGTGAACCGCCTCCATGGAGCGTCTGCCCTGAGAACGGAGGTCAATGGTTCGAGCCCCTGGTCGCGTGATACCAGAAGATGGTACTTGTTGTTAGCCTGCCTGGCTGTCGGTATTCAGGGTACAAAACAAGGACTGGCCGGCTCGGAGTCGCAATAATGTATCATTTTTGGACATATCTTTAAATCGGGATAATTTCGAATTGTCTACATAAACCAGTATTCAATACAGCAATACGTCATGTACATGTACGGGTGATCCATAATTCATTATGAAATGTTCATGTCAAACGTAAATATGATTGCGTCTATGTTTCCGGGAAGGACAAGATATGACATGTACATACTGATACTTTCATGTGTGGTACTCGGATAACCGGAAGAACATTAAATGGAAGTGTTTTCAGAACACGTGATCGGTTACATTCATACAAGGGTGTGCTGATTTACACTGCATATTATAAATCAAGACCTCAAATTGTGAGCTATTTTGTATCTTAAACAGACATTGTTGTACTCTTTACAAAGGGACCTGTTTTCAGTTTTTCTCAAATTGTTTTTTTCAACCAGTCCGCAGTGCTTGTTGGTTTCACCAGAGAGAAAAACACGTCTTGGACTTGCATCCCTATGGACTTTATTTTTCTCAAACATTTAGCGGACACCCAGTGTTTCGAATATCACGACCACTCATTTGCAATGTCCTATTGTTTTAATGCCTTCAGAAGTGCCAAATATTTACAAAAAATATATATGAATGAGCTATATGAATATGCTATTGTATGCTCACAATGTTACAGGGTAATTTATACAAACATAACATTTGCATTAGAAACAGGGAGTTGGCAAAGGCGACGTTGGAGGTGACTAATTTCATGCAATTTGCAAAGGCAATTAACTGTCGGAAATGTCAGTCAGACTTGTAAGTCACAGTAGGCGAATATGGAAATGAGGAAATTCGTGGGCACTGTAGCTATAAAGTGCAGAGTTGTTTCTGGTGAGCACATTGCAAAACCAGCACCTACTGTGACAAAACACCAGTCAGCATCATGGGCGTCAATATCATCTTCGTGATTTCTGCAGTGGGTAAGTATGCCTCATGGTGCTGATCTCATTGTATGTCAACACAGCCACATGGAATATATCATTATCATTTATTTTGTTCGTACATGGTTATTTGAGATCAATGCGGAATGTTCCCTAGGAACCTATGTTGCGTCTTCGGGTCGGGCGTCTTCCCGTCGAGCGGGGAGGTCGGTGGTGCTATCTCAGGCAGGAAAACCCAAACGATGTTAAAAAGTGTCACATTGTACTTGTTGTCCTGCCTAGCATTCGGCATTAACGGGGTAACAAGAACTGGTCTGCTCGGAGACAGTATGATGTTTCGGTGATTTGGTTGATTGCGTGTCATTGTCGCCCAACGGCAAGGGTCTGGTCTGGTCCAAGATCACTATTTTGAGGTTGATGTCATATAGCCGGAATATTGTTGAGTCCGGCGTAAAACATGAAACAAACAATAGTTTTTCAATGCGAACAGCACAGTCGCCTGAGTCATTGAAACTGTCTTTGTAGAGTTCTTGTCCAATACGTCCAAATCCTGCTCGACGTGGGATCGTATCGCTTCAGCACCATGATCGCCGGTTTCAACCAAAGTTTTCGGCCTGATTTCGAGGTTTCGTCACACAAGCATTACTGAAATACTGTTCTAGTGAGTGAGTGAGTGAGTGTTGTTGGGTTTTACGCCGCTTTTAACATTATTCCAGTTGTATCAAGGCGTGTCAGCTTAATGTGGGAGGAAAGCCAGAAGTGATGCAGGTTTCAGACATTTACCGCTTCGATGAAACCCACGAGCACGGGTATGGTGCTGACAAACCTACAAACATAATCGGGGCGAACCGGGATTCGAACCCACTATCATAGGTTTCTGGCGTGCCCAAGGGACGCAACTTTGCACAGCGAATCGCGGCGCCTTAGACGACTAGGCCACCCGTGCCCCGGAAATACTGTTCTAAGCAGCGTTTGATGTGATCAGTTGAAATGCTTGGAAGTATAAATGGTATGCATTGCAGTCCAGTGGTCTGAACACTGTAACTGTGACATACTTTGAAGAGGCACCGATGCCATGTGATTGTACACTGTCACTGCACACAGGTAGTAAATCTTGTCAGGCGAAGGTAAGCAATGTGGTCCGCGGACAATAGATGGATGGTTGCCTGTGTTCGGCAGCTTCACTCTTGAGAGTTCCTTTGATTACGGCGCTACACCTCACTGAAACACATTGCGGTGTCTCCTTACGCAAGAGATTAGTTTGAAATATGACTTTGTTCGGACAGCAGTTTAATGGGTACCCGGTAGGATGAGACGGTAATGTGACCATAACGTTCTCGCAAACCATACGACCGTTTCGGTTGCATACTTCCTAGGGAGCAAAAATGAAATTTAAGTGCACACTGATCCAAACACCGCGTAAATAATAATGGCGCGGCGGGATGTTGATGTTGCATTATAAACTTACTAATTATTATCATTAAAGAGAAGCTGAGAGAAGTATTTGTTCTCAGGTAACACATATAAACTTACGAGATAAACAAAGATCTGTTGTGAAGGCTTTCGTTCAGTTTACTGATCTAAAACGATTTCATTTTAATATCATGAATGCATCCATATGTTAATTGTGTTTACTAATTTGTGAACGACGCGAAGCTGCTTGATAAAATACAGAAAATCAGTATTAGACACGAACACATTTCTTATTCTGCGTCTTATGAAACAATACATTCCGATTCTACCAGCTCAAACCATGACGTACTTAGATGTGAGACCTGTTAAGATCCGAAGTAGAATAGGTCTTCAGCAACCACTACTTGCCGTAAAAGGCGACTATGCTTGTCGTAAGAGGCGACTAACGGAATCGGGTGGTCAGGCTCTCTGACTTGATTGATGCATGTCATCGTAGTTGCGTGGATTGATGCTCATGATGTCAATCACTGGATTGTCTGGTCCAGACTCGATTATTTACAGATAGCTGAAATATTGCTGAGTGCGGCGTTAAACAACAAAGAAACAAACATGGATATGTACTCACAGAGTATGAATACACACAAGTGTTTTCCAAATGAAATTTTCGTGCATCAAATACTCAATAACACCCGTAAATCTGATAACAAATATATTCATTTCCTCGTGTAAATGATCACGAACAATATGGACCCCATGTTTATAAATATTAAGTCGTTTCTGATAAACATTTCTACAAAAACATAGTTTTTACTTTTTTTTCAATATTATCAATATTTATAACTAAAAATATGCGGGTTGGGATTTTGTGAATAGACAAGTGATCTGCAAATGAGGAACGAAGGAGTATTCCAGCGATATCGCAGCTGTGGGCACTGGAAATTGACTACAAACTATATTTATGTTCGGAAACGAACCCGGGTGCTCGATGCTCGATGCTCACTGCAAACAATTGGTAGCAAACAGAAAGCATCGCGTTAGTCTGAATCCCTTTCAGGACGTGTCCTACATACATACACATGGCATAACTGTCCCGTTAGGATCAACGAGGATTTACTGTTTGCATTGCAATATAACTGTAGCCATTAATGGCATGACTGACCAGGTGTTTAGACTCAAATAACATGTCCTGTTTAAACCCGGTATTTCCTCAAGGATATATATTATATATATTTACCTGTTTTACTTGTGCCATATGTTCCCGTTTACAAACAATTGGTAGCAAACAGAAAGCATCGCGTTAGTCTGAATCCCTTTCAGGACGTGTCCTACATACATACACATGGCATAACTGTCCCGTTAGGATCAACGAGGATTTACTGTTTGCATTGTAATATAACTGTAGCCATTAATGGCATGACTGACCAGGTGTTTAGACTCAAATAACATGTCCTGTTTAAAACCGGTATTTCCTCAAGGATATATATTATATATATTTACCTGTTTTACTTGTGCCATATGTTCCCGTTTATGTTCAGGTGAACAATTGACTTGCCTTTGCATGTGTTTCTGGCGGGTGCCACCGATGGGGCAGGATATGCCCCCCTTTCGCGAACACCTGGGGTTATCACGGTCTGGTGGTGATTCATAAACACACGCTGATGATAGAGTCTTAATCGCACAATCGACTCGGTTTTTGAAAAGGTTTATAAGAATTATGGAATCGTTTTGTCGCTCTTTACATGTTTACACTGACTTGCTGTCGGTTTGGCAGTATGTGACCATTTGTGTTTCTGTTCATAAAGTCAATCAATTTTCTTCCAGTCAGTTTGGCGTATGGTCAGGACTGTAGTTCCGAAATGAACTTGGCAATATGTGCGTCAAGCCTGACAGGATATTCTGGCGATCCTGAAGCTTTGGGAGAATTCTGCAGGTAAGCTATAATAAATAATATCCCAATCTCATTGAAACAAAAACTTAGTTCTCGGCTACCGCCAGCAAAGATTTGAGGACATCCCATTACGGGTCACGTCAAAACGACCTTTCATCCGACATATCAGAGCGTCGTTTACCACATCGGAAAAGTGGCAGTCGGTGTGGGGTTTATTCAAATCAACCTCGAAAGGTCAACACAGGGTACTTCGAACAACAGTAGGTACGACTGATTCCATCAAAATCATCGTCTATCTCTCGCTTCAATGTCATAAACATTTGAAAAAGAAGAGACTTTTTCAATAGCCCGTGGGAGGTACTGCCATACAATCTCTGCCATCAATAAGAGCATTCCAGAATTTTGTTTTGTTCAGTTTTCAAATTTGGAATCGACATCTCTCAAAGCGTATTCTGGAACGTAAGTCTGAAAGGTTGAAACAAGTGCCGTAAATCTCGGCAAGCTGCTTTCTGACTGGCTAATGTTGACCTCTTGTTAATCATTTCATTGGTCGGCCAAAGTTCGCGAGAGGTCGTTCTGACGTTACCTGTAATGGGATGTCCTGTAAAAGTCTTTGAGAAGCGGTAGAGAGCACAAAGGTATGATTACAAAGAGAATGAATAAAGCCAAGGGGGGTAGTAAAGTGGCGCTGGTCCTGGAAGTGTACCACTTTGGTGAAACTAAACACAGTTAATCAAGCGCCATGATCACGGCGAACCTGGCGTTACCAAGTTAAGAGAATTTATACTGTAAATCGGACTTGGTGTTGAAGTTGAATCTTTCGTTGACGTGTATCTTCCCCTGTATTTTCTGTAGTACTGCTGCAGCGACCGAAACCTGTGTTGCTCGTGTGCTCGATGAATGCCCAAACCTACGCTCCTCCAACACGGCACAATACATCACGATGATGCAGAACCAGATTTCCTCCTTATGTGAGTATTTCCACAACAGAGAGCGAATCATCATCAACTGGTGCCCAGAAAATACCAAAGACGTCAGTTGATCAGTTCGCGAATATCAGCTATATCTGGAAGCGCTCGTACAATCTCCAATGCTTCAGTTCAGATTTCTGACTGAGGTCACGAAAACCAAAGACGTATATAGATTGTATATACGTCCGTGCGAAAACAATGCCCAAAATTATTGTTATCGCCAAGCTATTGAATGCCAACACACTTCTCTGTATAATACTCTTAAAATATAACGTTACACTGGTAATATATGAAACCCACGAGCACGGGTATGGTGCTGACAAACCTACAAACATAATCGGGGCGACACCGGGATTCGAACCCACAATCATAGGTTTCTATATAGCGTGCCCAAGGGACGCAACTCTGCACAGCGACTTGCTGCGGCTTAGATGCTCCCCATTATTCCATGAATATCCCCATAAATGGGTTACACACATTGTACCCATGTGGGGAATCGAAACCGGGTCCTCAGCATCACGTGCGAACTCTTTAACCACTAGTCTACCCCACCGCCCCTTGACGTTAAGAGATATTAGACAAAACACACGCATTCACTACCAGGGCTTGTCTTAAACAATGCCTGAATATGTTAACAAGCAAAAGGCTAACATAACTGGTGCTGTTTGTGGTGTCCAGGTCTATTGGTTGTGGAAGACTCAATAAATGAGTGAGTGTAACGTCGTTATGAATGGTGCTTCAGTCAATGCGGGAAGTCCCTCTATTGTTTCAACGATCCAATATTTTTCATGCATGGGTAGTGGGATGTCAATTATTCAAGCCTACATTATATAATTATTATTAAATTTAAATCCACATTTCAATTAATATACACTTGTAATTTGATAAAAACAACAACTGTGTGTTGGGGTGTTATATTGCACTCAAACTAATTATTTGTCGTCAGACGTACAGTAATTAACTTCGGGGACACATCACTGCATGGCGGGAAATCAATGAATGGCGTGAAAGAGTATATTAACCATGCATAGTCAAACCCACCCAGAACTTTTCGGAGAATGTTAAGACTCCCCAACACTGCAGCCTTCTGCATTACCAAGATTGTCAGAAGGGCTGTGTATTCCTGGTAGCAAACCTGGGCACTCTCCCAATGTCAGTCAACAGATTGGGAGGTACCAAACCTAAGGTACCGAGAACAATGGGGAGTCGGACAACATGAAACTTGGGATGCAAGCGTGATATTTCGAAAGCGAGGTCCGCATATTTGTCATGTGTTTCCTCAATCTTGTCAATCACATTGCTGTCAAAAGGGACAGAAAATTCAATCATATAAATGATTTCATTGGATTTATCAAAAGGACAGGATCAGATTTGTTGGCCTGGATACGTCTAAGGCTGTAAATGTGCCTATTCCAAAGAATTTTGTATTTATCATTTTTCATGACGCCCTCTACATATTCCGGGTCGTACCTCTGTGTCAAAACCACAAGCAAGGCGAAGACGGTAATAAAATGATCGAGCCACTCCATAATGTCGCTTAAGATACTGTGTTTGTGCCAAAGCTGGGCATCCACTGACAATGTGTTGGACAGTCTCATTAAATTCATTACATAATCTACATTATTATTATTATTATTATTATTATTAACACTATTATTTTATTTGACAGGTCCTTCTACTAATGGAGATGGTGAGTATATATAACAGCAGTAAAGCCCCGTTAAACCGGACGGTACCGTTTCCACTTACCGTTTCGACCAAGTAAAGAAATGTCAGGATAAAATTCGCATAGTCGCTTAGTATTTTTTACTGTCTCAATGAATACATTAAGACTGACAACATCAGAACACGGGAATTTGACCAGGAAGTTTAACTTGAGCTTCAGGTATATGGATGATCTAATATTGTTCAGTTTTGTTCAAATAGCCAATATTCTTTCATTGATTGACCCACAGAGAGTGTCAACAACTCGAGTTTGTTCTTTCTGCGAAAATCTCAAAGAGCTCCATATGACTTTCGCTCAAAAGTTCTTCGTCCATTGTGACAGTCAAGGCCTCAGAAGAGCATTTAACAATATTTGGAGACATGTGAGAATATTTCCAAAGTAGTGACTAAAATGTCCGATGCAATTCTGTCAACATGAGCCATATGTTCTCGTGTTTGTTCAGGTAAACTCTTGATTTGATTTGCATGTGTTTGTGACGGGCGCCACGAAGGGGCAGGACACGGCCACATTTTGGCGAACACCTGGTATCGTCACTGATTGACAGTGCTTTCTCGGTGAAGAGTCGGGTTAGAATGGGTCCTTAGCAACCAATGCATGTTCCAGGAAGCGACATACCGGATTAGGTGGTCAGGCTCTCTGACATAGTTGATGCATGTCATCGTTTGCAAATTTCACAGAGCGATGCTCATGATGTCAATCACTGGATTGTCTGGTCCAGATCCAATTATGTACACACCACCCTAATTTAGGTGGAATATTGCTGAATGCGGCGCTGAACTACATAAAACAAATGATAGTAAACACATGCTTATAAAAAATCAGAATCGTACAGGGGATTGTTCCAATGATTATGGAATGGGTCTGGTACTTCCAGTCACAGATTCGTTGAATAACATGGATTTGAAACAGCCGGGGTTCGGATTAACGGGTTTTAAACTTTAATAATGTACAGATCTTTAATGAATAATGTTACAATTTGTGACAGGTTTGACCCTACAATGAAAGTATACATATCTCAGTGTGCTTCTTAGGTACACGACCCATGAAGGTCCGGGGTAGAATAGGTCTTCAGCAACCCATACTTGCCGTAAAAGGCGACTATGCTTGTCGTAAGAGGCAACTAACGGGATCGCTGACTTAGTTAATGCATGTCATCGTATCCCAATATGCGCGGATTGATGCTCATGATGTCAGTCATATATGCCATATAGCTGGAATATTGCTGAATGAGGCGTTAAACAACAAACAAACAAACAGCTAAGGTGCACAAACAAAATGACATGAAAAACTTGAAACATTTGAAAATTCAAAATGTCAGGAAGCCACTCACACACTATTTCAGCTACAGCTGAAGACGACTGTCAACCTGGGTACATGGGGAGACTCATGACGTGTGCGGCGCCATTACCGAGTCTGGACATGAACCCAAATAGTGCGAACTACCAACAGTCTTGTCGGTAAATACACACACTTCTTCTTATGTCAGTCGTGTTATGTATTGTGTATGTATATTGTTCAACTAATCATATATGTATACTCCATTACGTCATTATGTCATTCTGCATAATTAGTATTATTGCGCAAACGTGATAAGGGGGGTGTAACCTTAGAGATGTAAGGACATTGTTTTCGCATATAGTCGAGATTGTTCTCTGGCTTTGGCGTTTTATATTTGCTTGAACTGGGTCGATATTCTGTTGGTGCCTGAAGTCCCTTAGTCTCATCATACGCTGAGTTGCATTGATCAATTTTGCTGAGTCAACTACAAAGAAATGGTTTGGCCGAGACACTAAAACGGCCCTCCCACTGTATTGCAAAACCGAACAACGAGTGTTTCTCTTTACCTGTGAACAGCAGAATCTCTCCACTAATACACAGCAGAAGTAATTCAAAATTAACATATTGATCTTGTCGTTGTGTATGGGAGGGTAACCGGAGAATGCGGCGACAGATACACACTTGCTATTTTGTGCAAAATGTGTCAGTGGCGGGTGCTAACGGTATGGCAGGATATGCATATTACGCTTTTCGCGCACACCTGGTGTCAACATAATTTTCAAAAATTGTTTTACCTTTTGCTCTCGAAGGAATCTGTTTCTGCAGTTGGAGAATGTTCTCTGGCTTTGATTTTTCATATGAATGGATGCGGAATCAAATTGACTGCAACATATGCATGCTTATGTTTTATCATAAAGTAGAGGCATATATGGTTGGGACAGGGTTAGAGTTAGTTTTAGGTTTCGGGTCGAAATTAAGTTGGGCGATAGCTGTGACCCACCTGTGCAGTCTGTATATGCAGTCATCACAAACAAGAACATCGCCACCAACAGTAATGGCTATAATAGTAACAGTGTTTTATCTGATTAAGTGTCATCGTACTGCAAGATAAATAAGAAAATTATCAGTTTCTGGTAACCTTTTGCTGTAGCATTTATTTAAATAAACGTTGTGTAATTATATCGCCTGAGACCAAAACTCGTTTTTAGATAAAATGAACAAGAACTTGTACCAGACACGACATGATTGAGGAACCACAGCCATCCCCTTTTCATGTTAGGCTATATTAACATGTTTCCTACATGTGTCTGCTCGCCGAAATAAGAGTGCATGAAGTGGGTTTTACATCGCCTAGGATAGTATTTCAGTTATGTCTCGGCGTGTCAGTTGAATGTGGGAGGCAATCCCAAAGCGTTGCACGTCTCAGACGTTTACCGCTTTGGTGAAGCCCACGAGCGCAGGTGAGGTGCTGACAAACCTAAAAGCAAACCCATAGGACGCAACTCTGCACAGTGAATTGCGACGCCTCAGACGACTGGGCAACCTGTGCCCTAAACGACAAAGACATAAATGTAACCAAACAATGCATTTCAGTAATTGTCTTCTGTCAATTCAAATTATTTACGAAGGTGATGGCCGTTCAGACTGACATGGTCCGCTATGTTCCCCCATGTATGAATATTTGACTACAGTGTGGCAGTAGCAAATACTGTTTTTGAAGATTAAAATAATTTATTTGTTTTAAACAGAGAAGGCCTTGCAGCCGTGGATTGTTTGGAGGGCGTGTTCAATAGTTGTTCCAGCAAACCGGAGATCCAGCAAATGATGGCCAGTATGGACACTGCCACCTTGAGGAGGATGCTCGGCAGCTGTAGGTGAAAACTGGTCTCTGTTGACAAGATAAATAATATTTATACTTATGGAGTGAAACAATGGAACGCATGACGTGTAACCAGGACTACTTGATAAGGTGGCAAGTAAGGTGTTATTCACAGCAATGTACCTAAATGCAAGGTCTTCGCGGCCAAAAACCCCGCGGAAGACATGTTAGCATGATTTTGTCACACATGCATCGCCTGTTAGGTGGGAGTGATTGGAAACAGTGGCAACAATAGTCATCATGTCGAGACAACACATGAATGTAGCACAAATGGCAAACAATAGGCATGATTAGCTCAACAACTCCAAACTCCGATAAATAGGTGAAGGTCACAACAAATCCAGATCGGAAAGTTATAGATGATCGTGGTGGGTATGAAAAGTGAAAACTTCAAAATAAGCCTCATAGCGTTTAGGTCTACCTACTGTCAGGAGCGGGTCCTGGGCATGGTGAGATGTCGCGGGGTCACATTCGTTTTTCACATTCACCCAAGTATGACAACACATGTAACCAGTTATCGTTATTGAGTATCCATTCAATACTTGCGATCCCTTATTTTATTCCGTCTTAATCCTTGGAAAAGACATACAGAATATCTGAACAGAGAGGCCCCTCTAAGGGAAAGTAAACTGAAAAAATGATCGCGATTTGGTTGCGAATATCAGTTTTCCAGGACACATTTAAATAATTTCCGAAAGAGACATTTTCATAATATAGAATAGAAAGTATTCAAATGCACAAGTGAAAGTGTTGAAATCACACGCTCCGTAAACCATATCCATAACAAATCTATTTGGGGGCGTGGCGGTGACATATGTTTTCATTGGCTGATATGTTTGCAGCGTCTATATTGAGATTCTTAGTCGTTTTACACATATACCGTTTCTGCTATTTCGGTTAATCCTACAACAATTACAACATTACATATATCGTTGAATGTGTGAAGCGACCTTTCATGTTGACATTGTGAACAGTTTACAATCGGTAACTAACGTTTCATTGCTAACACCCAGTTTGGGTTTTGTAAATAAACAACTAGCTGCCCTCGGCCCTATTCAACAAAATGAATACCTGTTTGGGATTAATCCCCTGAGTAAACAACAGAAGGTATCTTCGATGCTTTTACTAAAAAGGCATAATAAGACATAAGTTGTGGATACGGTAATCAAATGGATGAGCTGACACAAAAAGGCCGCAATGCATTAACAAATCGGAGGCAGGAGCAGGCAGACTTGGTGTCGGCCCGATCATTATGATCGGTGTAATTGCGCAACGCGTCAAACACCGGAAACCGGTTTTAACCCCAGTAAGGGGATTCCCCCTCAGGGGGGGATTTTTTTCGTTTGGGGAACGATTTCCACTGTCGTTTTAAACGTCCGCTTAACGCTATTTCCCTTTTACAAAATTAATTTTTGTCAAGCATCAGTGATTATGTATTAAAGTCTGCAAAGTTGCAATATTGAGTTTACGTGCACTTTAATCCAAGACAAGGGATAATCCGTTTTGTATATAAACTTTATCTTCTCCGTTGAGAACCTATGCCTGTTGTCAGAGTCGACCATTTGAGGTAGAGAGGGCTAGAATGCTGTTGTTTTAAATAACCGATAGTTTCTTCCTGGAAAAAATAACTTGTGCTCAGGTTTTGCGACGAAATATACATTGTTCGCAGGACATTCTGGATCACCTGAATTTATTAATTGAAGATATTACTTCATTCATTTAGAAAAAAATAAGTTATGTGTCTTGAAGCATTGACAGAACAAATATACAATCACTACCTTATGTCCGAGTTTTCAAATTATACACGTGTTAATAATTCCTCTTTTTGAATATCTTCAGGTTGAATCAGTGAACAGACCTATGAGCACCTGGACAACAGCTTTGCAGGAAACTACATCTGAAAGCATTGCAGTATGGTTCATTTGAAATAAAAGAGTAATTCGTTTGTAGTTTCTTGAATAATTAACTTTACACATCGTCCGGGGAAATATAATATTAAAGGTTGCAAACATGAAAGACGTGGTATCCCACTGTGTTTTCAAAGTATTCCCGTTACTTGACACGACAAAACATACGTAACAGCAAGCAAGTACACATGCAGTGTATGGCTAAGTCGTCACAGCGTAAGTCGCTGCCAGAAACCTCTGATAAGGATGTTTCTAGGATTGTCAATTCATTCCCATGCTCTCAGGTGTCACACAAAGTGAAAAACGTCAGAGACCTGCATCACTTCGGGCTCTCATCCGACATCAAGCTGACAGGCCGTGATATAATGGGCGTTATGCCACACTCACCCACTACATTCAATGTTTGACCATGCTGTGTCAGACGCAGAAGGTACCAGACTTACGAAGACTTCCAAGAGCGTCATATGACTCTTGCTCAAAAGTTCTTTGATCATGGGTACAGCATTCAAGGCCACAGTAACAGATTTCAAACACTTGATGGTAGGTTGTGGAGGACATTTTCCGAATTCTCGGTTGTGACTTGCACCATACACGTTCCTGTATTTGTTCAGATAAACGCTTGACTTGACTCACCTTTTCGCAAACACGTTGTATCAGCATTATTTTTTCGGTTCATTGGGGTATGAATCGACGAACTGATGTGCAAACTGTATACCTCAATGAACCGAAAAAATACATAGTTAATCCTTATAATTAAATTCGACAACGAATGCATGTGTTTTTCACAACCAAAAACATATGTATATATATAAGCAGACAAAACTGACGAGATTGATAAACATTCCAAATGTAGGAATACATGGCGTGTCATGTCATGAATCAGGTGATTGTTTAATTTATGCACATAACTTGACACGCCACCAAAGTCACCAGCCAATCAACGGAGAGGAAAGATCATAGGACCTGTCAATCAAGTCAAGAGGTGAGAAGAACTGCAACAGTCGGAACGAACAGGAACAAACATGTCCGAGGGAAGGCGGCTGTTTCAAATGACATGGTCAGTTACCACCAGATTCAAACATTAGTTCCCTGAGTACGGGAAGACACAGTTGGAAGAAATGAAACTGTGAGACCTAAAATTGTATAACCCAGGCAAGTGAGCCTGCACTTTTGCTGGTTCATTCCTTCTCGGCCTTCGGTCTCAAAGGGTAGTTTGGACAATGAATATGCATGAATATCGTTACATGTCATGTGCATGACGAGACACGTGAGCAGAAAGTGAATTCCATAGACTCTAATATTGGAAAGGGTTTTGTCGCATCTATTTTTAAACAAAATACTTAATGATTATAACAGCGATTTTGAGGTTTTAAAAGTTAATCTGTTTGATGGATGTGACATTTTGTCATCAGTACAATATTCTGAAATAGCAAATCTTGTGATCCAATCCCCAATATATACCATAGCGGACACTTCTATCTTTATACAACTATAACAGTGGGGTTTTCATGTTCTCAAGAGGAACAGAAAACTATGACCAATTATTATCCTTCTGAACAAATCTGTCTTTGTCGAAATGATCATACGCATAAACTTGCATTGAACGTTAATCTTCTTTACATGTTTTGTACCGTTTCTGTATGAAATTGACCTCCGTGGTCTGATGGATAGAGCGCCTGCCCGGAGAGCGGAAGGTCGATAGTTCGATCCCACGATTAACTTTTCCATTATTCACCTTGTAATGGGAATTAAGCTTGAAATGTTTTTTCGTCTTTCGGCTTTTGATTGAAATATACCCTGCTTGTGTTGCAAAGGCTTGGGATGTTAAGGGAGATAGAGTAAGTTGCTAAAGGAGTCCGTTAGGCGGAATGGATGAAATGTGGCGGTAAATCTGAGCTACTTCTGTGAGTTTTCTTACAGTGATGGAGGTTGTTGGAAAGGATCTAAGTGTTGTCCCAATTGATGTTGTGATTGGGATGGTCCTATTGGCTATTTAACTGGTGAGATTATGTGATCTTTAATTCTGGTGTTGATGGGGCATGATGTTTCACCTAAGTAGGATTGTCCACAGTCACAGTATATTTTATAAACTACACCTTTAGGTTCTTTGGGTTCGGTGGTGTGTCTGCCATTGTCTCTTAGTAGGGTATTGAAGGGCAAGACAAGGAGATGACATTGTCGACGAGTTTGGATGGCTAGTTTGGATGGATAGTAGATGACACCATTGCCACCCTAAAACGCATTGCCAGTGATTCCAAATGGCAGCAAAGAGAAAACCAAAGCGTGGTTCATCGAGGACAGGTAAAGAAAATGGGTGTCTTCTCTCCATCTGACAGGAAAGGAATGTCGAAGATCATCTCGATTACCAAAAGAAAAAAACGAAGGTTCGGTCTATCAAAGGCTGGCGAATGAAACGAGGTGAGGTGAAATGGGGGTTTTCAGCTACAGCTACAAATCGTGCTATTTGAAAGTTCCTGCTTTCGATTTCATGGAAGTAATATCAACAGTTGAAGTTAGTATTGAGCTTGTGAAGATAGCAAATGATATTATTCAACGGAACTTCTATCACACAATACTAAATCATGGAATTCTAAGTGACGGTGCGTCACATCTTACACAGTCAATTCAACAAATTGCAAAATGTCTTTGTTTTGTGTTTCTAAAGGACTCCACATTCAGATGGACAAATACCATGAAATGGTTAACTTTCATTGAGAAAAAATCCTAAAATGCGAACAATATATTCCATTTGCGTTTTTATCCTTTATATCTAATGCCTGTACGAGCACCTTTGTACAGTTAGTGATGCGGTCACTTTATTATGATGCGTAAACAAACTTCGCCCTCACACACCCTGTGTAAAAGTATACATATATAAAATAAATCGTCACAGAAGCCTTAAGCAGGACGGACTGCTCTTTAAAATAAGAGCTTTTACAAACAAGAGAAGAGAAGTCTTGTCACGTGATATGCAAATTAGCTTATCGCAGTGGTGTTAAGCGGGGTTGTTACTTTCAGGATTCATATGATAGGTCAATTTGAAGGTTAATGTCATCGGAATGTGTTCCTACAAGTACTTAACAGTGTCTTACGAACTTATATTCAGCAAATAATACAAGCTTGTTCAAAGTACACAAGCATGTCCCGTTTAACACCGGTATTGTTTTCCTACTTTCGCTTTCCGCGAACACCCGGTGGCAACACCAGTAATCCATTCATATAATATTCACAGCTATTTTGCCTTTAACGCCCAATAGAATCTGTTTCTGTGGATAATCGAGATACAATGTCTTTCAAATTTGATTTAAAAGAAATAATACTGGCTTGTTTAAAAATAATATTGATAAGCATGTCCTGTTTTACACCGATATTTCCTCAAGGATATAAAGTCATGGTTCATGGGATGGTATAGTTTCCTACTTAACAATGTCTTACAAGTTTACATTCAGCAAATAATAATAGTTGCAATCAACTTGGCTTAGCAGTAGATTTGTGTTAATTCCCGCAAGGGGGCACGGGTGGCTCAGTTGTCCAAGGCGCCGCGATTCGCTGTGCAGAGTTATGTTTCTAGGTTTGTCAGCACCATACCCGTGCTCGTAGGTTTCACCGAAATGGTAAACATCAGAGACCTGCATCACTTCTCATTTTCCTCCCACATTAAACTAACCCGCCGTGGTATAACTGGAATATACTGTTAAAAGCGGCGTTAAACTCGCTCACTAATTCCCGCAATGTCTTTCCAGTCGGTTTGGCGCACGGTCTGAATTGTAGTTCCGAGGCGGAATTAACAATGTGTGGGTCGACTCTGTTTACATGAGTTAATCCCGGCCAGTTGGGAAATTTCTGCAGGAAAGCAATACTACAGATTTTGACAAGAAATACAAGTACATTTGTATAACTATTATCACAAGAAAACAAGTACGTGCACTGAAAACACCTAGTCAAATAATTTACATGTCAATCCGCACTTGTCACAGCGTTCGCGATAGTCTGTTTTTGTCAATGCTGCATGACAACGTCTTTGTTGCGAACAGTTGAACGTTCATGTTTCAGATACTGAGTTGCTTTGTATCTGTGCTAAGTTCAATAGAGGGACAATAGGGGCGACTACCATTTTGTTTAGCTAGCATGCTAAGTAGGGATTGCATTTCATTACCTACAACACTATCTTCCCCTGCCTTTAACGTAGTGATGATGCTGCTGTCGAAGTTTGTGTTGATGCAGTGTTGCTACAATGCCACAATCTTGCCACCATTCAGGCAGCAGAGAACGCCACCGCATTGCGGGATCTGATTTCCTCCATATGTAAGTATGTCTAAAACAGAGAGCGAAACATCCTTGTAAAATATGAAAGAAGTCAGTTTATCAGTTCGCGAACATTAGCATTATCTGTAAGCGTTCTTAAAATCTCCAATGTTTTATGCAGTTATTGAGGTCACGTCTTCATATTATTGATATATAAGCAAATGAACGCTTAGTTTCTGTCACACGTCTGTGAAATGACTACTGTGCTACTGTTTGAATAATACACAGGGGCAGAATCGACGCTGAGCCATCGAGCTTAAGATGAACAAAAACGAGCTGGAATCGCAAAAACAAAACAACCGAGAACGTTTGTCGTTAGGAGGTATCACATATTCTGTACGTGTTTCCGTACAGGCGCCGCGATTCCGGGTGCAGATTTGCGTCCCTTGGGCACGCCAGAAACATATGATTGGGGGTTCGAATCACGGGCTTTCCCCCCACATTAAGCTGACACGCCGTGCTATAACCGTAATACTGTTAAAAGCGGCGTTACACTCAACTCACTAACTTACGTGTAACAGAGTAGTCTTTCCCTGTGTGTCTTCATTGTCAGGGATGGGCTATAGTAATAACCACATCTCGACATGTGCTCAGATTTCCCACACCCGACTGTTGTTTGGGTCGTAATTGTGTATTGGGTGATAATAAACAGGTTATGGATGAATGAGTGAGCGTGTGTAACGCCACTTTGAAAAGTATTTCAGTTATATCACGGTGTGTAGGTTTAATGTGG